GAACAGTTCTTGCACTGGTTGAGTTCATTATAACCAGATCGATAAAGCCAGTGTTAGTGGATTAAATATTTTAAAACTCAATTTCCTATAAGCAGCATACAGTGAATAAATAGAACTCTATAACAAACATGTAAACAAGCAAGAGAGTCTCGAGGTTAAAGGTTATGAGGCAACAAACCATCGAGCTTAAAGTAGCATCGCCAGAGAGGACATGATAAACAAGGTACTCGGTATATAAAAACATCAAGTGGGAACAAGTCTGACAAGAAAGGACCTTCACCTTCACCATGGCGAGTGTTCACGTAGGAGATAGTCTCTGATAAATATTTCCATCCTTTGTCCACGTCTCTTCAACAAACTGTAAAAGCTAGCCCAGGGCATCATGTTCTCAGAGCCTCAAGACAGAAAGAAACTCCAGATCATTCCTCCCTCAAGGTTCCTGCTGTTAAAAACGTATAGCCCTTGGTTTTAGCCTTTAATCTAACAAAGGATGAATTCAGTAATTTGAAGTTTAATTTTCTCACACAATTAAAGGCTCCTTTTTGTTGTTTGCTGTCTGCCAGGTCCACTGGAACACTTTATATATTATGTAGTATGTATGTTGCCCTCTGGACAGTCTTATGTGTATGAGGCTGTGCAACACTGCAGTGAGGGATCTGCCCAAGGGACCTGCCCAACATCCCTCCCCTGTAAGTGACAGGGCCGGGATGGCACCTGGGTCTGTGTGGTTCTCAGCGCCTCTGCTACACCACCTCCTGCTCCGGGCACAGTGCTGGATGATGGCAGCTGGCGTCCTGATTTCTGAGCCACAGTCTTGTGCTAGATCTCCTTCCTTTAATGTTTCCCTTTACGTGTCTAGAAGCTTATTAAAAAAAAATTTAAAATCTTTTCGTTTTGGACCCTTTTAACAAACAAATACAGCAAAGGCCTAGGTCTTTATAAACCAAAGTAGGAAAAAAGATATTAAACCATAGCTTGTCTTCTAATAGGAACATTTTTTTACTTAAGAGACATAGATTCTCTTCTCAGTCTCTTTAGGAGGTTGAAGAATAACATGCAGAAATACATGGGTTTTTTTTTTAGCAGAAAAAGCTCAGTCCTCATCTTTTAGCAACTCAGCTTTCACTTTCCTCCCATCTTTTCCCCATTGTTGGCAAGACTGTATCACTGCACTTTTTGAAAAAATATGGCTAATTCACTGCTGTTTCTGAAATAAGCATATGGTTATATGCCATGGTCCAAGAAACAAGGAACATTTTTCTACAGGCAGATAGTTTGTTTTTCCTTTTGGGCTTAAGGACTGGCAGTGAATGTGAGCGAGCAAGAGGTCAGTAGTGGGCACAGTTGCCTCTGTCAGGAGGACAGATTTCTGACCTGCCAGGGCCTTCTCAGTGATGGGAGGGCCACAGTGGCATAGATGTGCTCCTTTCCCATTGAGGGGACATCATGGTGGTCCACTCCCTCATTCCTCAGACAAATCTCTGCTACTTGGCTGGAGCAAGTGTCCTGAGGCCTGAGCTACAGGTTCGATGTCCATCCTGAGATCTTCACAAGTGCTGCTCTGAGTACTGTCCCAGGTGTATGGAGACCAGGACAGGTGGCATCTGCTAACTGGGCACATCATGGGTGGTTTTTGACCATCAACTGTAGCTTGAATGAGTTTCAGGAAAGAAGAGGAAGCTCAGGGAATACCAAGTTTCCAGTTAGGTTAATTCCTGAGATAGTTTCTTGTCTGTTGATCTAATGAGAGAGAGACCTAGGACCCAGACTACTATAAGTCTCCTTATCTTTCCGATGCCTTTTTATTTATTTATTTTTAGATTTTATTCATTTATTCATGAGAGAGAAAGAGAGGCAGAGACACAGGCAGAGGGAGAAGTAGGCTCCACACAAGGAGCCCGACGCAGGACTTGATACCGGGACTCCAGGATCACGCTCTGGGTCAAAGGCAGGAGCCAAACCGCTGAGCCACCCAGGGATCCCCCTCCGATGCTTTTTTAGAAGAATTCTTTATTAAATAAAAAATTATGACAATATTAGTATAATTTAAAAAGTTATCTCACTACCCCTAGAACAATTCACTTCAAGTTGGTGAATCTCTTCCCAGTCTGTCCATACCAATCCCTACTTAATATTTTTGTAATTCAAGAATAGGTATGGACGTTGTCCATCTTGCCAAAGAGCCCTGTTCATGATTCCAGTTTTATTTTTTTATTTTTAAAAAATATTTTATTTATTCATGAGACACACACACACACACACACACACACACACAGAGGCAGAGACACAGCAGAGGGAGAAGCAGGCTCCATGCAGGGAGCCTGATGTGGGACTCGATTCCGGGTCTCCAGGATCGCGCCCTGGGCTGAAGGCAGTGCTAAACCGCTGAGCCACCTGGGCTGCCCATGATTCCAGTTTTAAACAGCTTTTCCATATTCCACCAGGCAGACACCTGTATTTGCCTTAAGTGCTCCCACTGGGTTGGACAGCTAGGCTGTTGTTTATTTACAGTCCGTTCACTATTACAGATGATAGGATCCTAAGTGGCCAGCTCATGACAACACTGCAGCGACATAGGGTGACCTTGAAAATCTTTATGCACTGCATGTCTCAGCAACAGTTAGGGGCTTGTTGAGCTTAAAGAAATGTAGAGTCTTCTTTCACAAAACCTCAAGCCCTTCTCAAAGTTTCTCGGATGACACGTAACTACAGATTGTGGATCCCTGGAAGATGTTAGGAAATAAATCAACACAATCGTCCATCATGGGAAAGGTGACACATTTTAATAAAGAACAGGAGAGTAACTGCTTTCCAAGAAGGTTGTACTAGGGGAAGAACATTTTGAAACCAGATGTTTTTGTTTCCATCATTCTCTAAGTTTTGTTGCCAAGAACTACATGAATGTGTCACCTTTTAAAAACACTAATGCCTGCACTATTAACTTGGGAGCAGTTTTTCTGTTCTCCTTTAAAATCCTTTAAATGAAAATTTTGGTGGATTTTGAATTTGGTTGTTAAAAATGTGAGAATGCAGTAATACCCTCTAATTAGTGGCAGGAACCATTCTCTGACTTGAGGGGAAATGGAACTTCAGTAGTAAAAACAGTCACAAAATCCTTTGTGTCAGTGGTGGATGGAAGTAGACACTTTCTCCCTTGATGCCAGTGGTGAATGTCTTCTGTCCAGGTCCGTGCATCTCTGGGAGAAGTCTTTGCTGGCTCTGACAGACTTTGATGAGTGAAGCCATAACTGGGCTCCTTTCAGATCAGTGAGTCACAGAAAGTTCCCTACATTTGAAAAAAAAGTGGAAGCAGAGCCAGTTCAGTAGCTCTCACTAAAAATGTTATAACACATTTCAAAGAGATTTGTTGATACACTTAGTAAATGGCATGTTAAGATATATTTTTAAATATTGGTTATTTTGTCCTTGTCTCATCCTTTAAAATGGTTTATTTTTGGTATTTTAATGCTCATAATTTATTGGCATGGTAGCTCACCGTGTAACTTACAAACAAACAACTTGGAGATACGTGCTTAAGGGCTTTTCCTTGATGGGGCATGCTGTCAGAAGAGTGCAGAGACCATGGATCTAGGCAAATTGGATTTATAAAGGCTCCTGCTGTAACTTGAGAGTACCAATCGATGACTTTCATTTCCTTACGTGGTGAGCTGGTACAGTACTGTGTAGGGGTCCTGAACACAAAGCAGGGCAGCTGGAAGTGCTTTCTGAAATGAATGAGCAAACATGGTTTCTGGGTTCCCGTATGAGGAAATGATGCTTGAGATCTTGGTGTCACATTGGTCTCCTCCTTGGCCACCAGCTTCTTGTGTCCCTAACTGCCCACTGCTTTGCCAGTAAAGGAGTTTCTGTGAGCCAGGGGCAGTCAGGGTTGTTTCTCTTAGGCTATGTGTGCCCTTGCTGACATATCTGAGGGATGCCACCTTCAAGCTCCTGGTGTATTGCATAGCATGTACCGTGCCCAAAATGTGCAGAATGTCCCCTGGAGACCTGTTCAGAGGCAGCACTCAGATTTCTGGTGGTGAGAATGGCTTCCAAGACCAGTCTGGTTTCTGATAGATTTTCAGTGGTGAATTGAACACATGAAGACTACAGCCAGTGCTCTGGGATATAAGGTGGCACCGCATAGAGGGAAGGAGTATTGGCTTTGGAACCCAACGGACTTGAGTTCAGGGTCAGACTTCCATTCCCTACATGGCCTGAGTTCAACCTATTTATATAGCTTACTTACCTCTGAAAGATCACAGTGACAAAAGAGACTTTTCCCCCACTGTGTCTATATACACACACACATTTGCACAGTGCACATGAGTGTGTGGCAGCAGTTTCAGGGCAGTACGTAAAGGATAGGGACTGTCTTGAGTCCTGCAGAACCAGTGAGACCCAGTTGGGCATATCACCTATCCATGCTGGCATTCAGGCCCTCGTGGTATCATGTTCTCATTCTTTGCCCAGTGTATCATACCACCCCTACCTGTTACACCCTGGAGCAAACCATTCATAGGTTTGTTGTAAGGTTATGATTGTAAGATGACTGATCCTAAAAAGGCCACTTTGGAGCATCCTGCTTTTTCTTTTGTAGACTCCTAAGTAAGTAATCTCTATATTACCCATGCAGCTTTGGTAATGTACTTAATTTCCCTGAGCCTTGGCTTCTTCCAGTTGTGGAGCAGGTGTAGGGCATTGTGTGGCTAAGATGAGTTGATGCATGGTGTTTACAGAACACAAGAAAGGTGGTGTTCATGGGTCCAGCCATTAGCTTAGCCCTAGGGGAGTTCAGCTAATCAAGGGCAGGGCTGGCCAGAACATGAGGCAGAACTTGTTGCTGCCCCTGTTGTGCTTCCAGAAAGTCTCAAGGCCCCCTCGGGCCCAGATGGGCTGTGTCTGCCCGTAGCTCTACACCAGATGGCATCTGAGTTTTAAGGTATTTATTTTGTGATCCGAGTATTTTTTAACTCCTTATTCTCTGTTTTGTGTTGCAGGAACCCAGCTCTTCAGTGGTCAGAGTGACTTTAGAATCACCACCTTGAAATTTCATCCGAAAGACCACAGCCTTTTTGTGTGTGGAGGCTTCCACCCTGAAGTCAAAGCTTGGGATATAAGGACCGGCAAGGTGATGCCCGTCTTCCTCCTGTGGCCTCTCCACAGGAGAGTTTGCTGCGGAGGTGTGAATGCCTGGGGGCGGGCCAGCATCTAGGTGCGGGACTCTGGAGATGGGGTAATTACCACTTCATGTTTCACCAGTGCTCAACGTAATGTGTAGATGTTTTTAAAGAACATTCTTGATTGGTTAGGATATTGAAACATCAGAGGTGTGATTCTGTGTAGCATGTTATTGAAAACATTTATTGAGCATCTACTGTGTGCAAATGTTTCCAGATGGTATAAAATGAATTGGCTTTTGGGTTACTCAAGGGAATAATGTGTGGATGCAGATAATTGGTGTGGAGCAGCACTGTTTGTGTGTGTGCATGCCTGTGTGCATATATACATGTGTATGCATGCATATGTATGTATGCATCCATGTGTGCGCACATGTGTATACGTGTGCTGTGTGTCTGCTTGCATGTGTGTTGTGTGCATGTGTGTGTGTGGGGGTAGGTCGTCATTCAGGTGAGTACTTTCATCTTAGTGTATAAGGCTCCTTAGAGACCATGTTCCTTCTGGGGCTAAAAGTCTGGTCATGATGATCCCACAAAGAAGTGGTTTCCATCCCCACCCCTGTTTGCCAAGCTGCTGCTTCTTTTGCCTTCACCCACTTGATAAATGGCAGCTCCACCCATTTAGGTGTGTGGGCGAGAACCATCAGAATTGTCCCTGTCTCTGCTCTTTTTCTCATCCCCACGTCTAAACCATGAGCAAATCCTGTGGTAGCTCTGGTTTAAGCTGCCCTTGACTCTCTCTGGGGTAATTTAGTAGTTTCCATTGTGGGCTCTCTCTTTCCCCACTCCTCACAGTTTGTTCTTAGCACAGAAGCCAGAGTGATCTATCATAGTGTAAGTCGGATGTGCCTCTCCTCTGGTCAGAACCTCTGGGTTCTGGGTTCTGATTTCACTCATAGTAAAGGCCAGTGTCCCCCCAGTGGCCCACAAGGCCCACATGATCTTCCCTTACCCCCTTCTCATCATCTCCAGCCCCACTGGTGTCTTTGCCTTTCCTAAAACACACCCACACATTCCTGCCTCAGGGCCTTTGCCCTGCTACACGTGTACTTCCACCTGGAATGTTCTTTTCCTAATTTCTCTGTAGAGGTTCCCTCCCTGTCTCCTACAGGGTTCTGTTCAAATACTACTTTTCCAGTGAGGCCTTCTCTGACTTCCCTGACCACCTTGATGGTCACTCCCTCACTGTTCTCCCTACCATTTATCACCACCTGGCATACTGTGGATTTTAGACATTTGTGTATTTGCCTCTCTGCCTTCACGTGAATGTAAGCTCTGCCAGGGGAGGGATTTTTGTCTGTTTTGTTTGTTGTTGACTTCCAGCTCCTAGAATAGTGCCTGGCATACATTTAGGATATTGAAGGCACTCATCAAGCAAGCCATCGTTGAGTGAGAGAATGAAGGAGGAAGGCAGTTATGCAGAATGTGTATGTATGGAAGGTAGGAGTTTGAAGTGTGTGTGAGGACCAGTGACTGACTTGACCTGGCAGGGCATGGACTCTGGGCAAGTGTTCTGGCCTTGGACAGAGAGGGCCCCTGGCATGCGAGTCTCACTTGGGGTTAGCAGTTGGAAGAGAAGCCAGGGCTGAGGATGAGTTCATGGAGGAGTAGTGAGGAAGAGCCATGGCCTGACTGCCTTTGGGGGTGCTCCATGACTTTAGGATGACTTGTTTTCAAAATCTGAGAAGCACCGCCCTCGTCTGAAGGTGGCATCCAGCCACTTGAGTCCTGTAGGGTAGTTAAGAATAAAACCCATGTTAAGTTTAACTTTGAAAGAAGAGGGTACAGACTATGAGTGTCTTCCTGCATTTGTGATTTAGGGGATTCAGGGAGCTCTAAAGTCCCACCGTGAAGAACTCCAGCCTGCCGCAGTATCAAAAGGTGGTACCTTAAAGGCTTCCCTCCAGGACTGCCTTCTGCCCCACCTTGGATCTCCCAGATGTGAAAGTTGAACTGGCCACTGCAAGAAGGCACCGGCTTTGGAATGGGCTGTTGGCGTTTTGAGAACATAACATAAGACCAGCTTCTTTAAAGAAAATGTAAAGTTTTGTCTATAGGTATCTTGCGTAAAGTACTTCACACGTGGGAAAACTAAAGCACAGTAAAAGGTACTCTTTTAAAATAAATCTCAAAAAAATAATAAAATAAATCTCACATTTTTCTTTTATGAAGAAACTTCTTTTTACAAAAATATTCAGAAAAGAGAGAAAAGTTACCCATAAAGAAGTGGACACAGTGGAATTTAAAAAAAAAAAAAAAAAAGAACCACTGAAACCCTTATATTTGGGCTGCGTGTGTTGGAAAGTCTTAGTCATGCTGTTTGAAGAGGGACCTTCGATTACCCAGCCCCTGCTGACGGCCACGTCCCTTAAAGGTGTGCTTACTGTTTTTAGCCTCAAAGACCAAATACGTAAGAGATTACTCACCAAGGATGCCATCTGATTTAAGAGTTTGTTAAAAATATTGGATTTTCTCCTAGGGCAGTCACCATCTGACAAACTCTGAAAATGCTGGGGGAGAAGCAATTAGAAGCAGATGTTGCTGTGACTGGTATTGGCATTGTTTGCGAGTCTCTCCCAAGCTAATAATGCGAATACAGGGATCTGTGCAATGTTTGTTTTTACTTCCTCTTTACCGATAACCTGACTGCCTCTCCTCCCGGTCTGGGTCATGGGGCCAGTTCCATTTGCATCAATGGGCTCAGAGACAGCTCTCCCCTGCTTCAGTTATGTTTCCTCTGACAGGTGCTGCCTGAGTGTCTCAAATGGGTGCAGCCAGTGGACCAGAGAGGGAAGGCACAGGGTCCCTGCCCTCCTGGCTCCCACCTGAGGTGGCTCCCTTTTGAGCCTGCCAGGCCATTGCAGATGCATGGCGCTGTCCCTGGTGCTGAACTCTCCCACCCTCTCCTGTGTGGATGAAAGTCTGGGGCTGGGCAGCTTAGCTTTTTTGGACTACCCTCAGGAACAGTGGTGAAAACTGCAGGTGGGGGGATCCCTGGGTGGCTCAGCGGTTTAGCGCCTGCCTTCTGCCCAGGGCGTGATTCTAGAGACCCGGGATCGAGTCCCACATCAGACTCCCTGCATAGAGCCTGCTTCTCCCTCTGCCTGTGTCTCTGCCCGCCCCCCCCCCCCTTCTCTCTTTCTCTCTCTGTGTCTCTCATAAATAAATAAATAAATAAATAAATAAATAAATAAATAAATAAATAAAATCTTAAAAAAAAAAAACAAAACTGCAGGTGGAGGCAGGAGGGACACAGACCTTAGCTTAAAAAGCAGCTTCCCCGTTAAATACAGTGGGAGGGACTGTTTTATTGTGAAAGTAATATGTGATCACATAACAAATGGGAAGATAGAGGGAAGTAAAGGGAAGGGGTAGTAGAGACAGCCACAGGTAGATATTAGTAGCGTTGTAGTGCTTTTCTTTCTTTCTTTTTCTTTCTTTCTTCTCTTTCTTTTTTCTTTTCTTTCTTTTCTTTTCTTTTCTCTTTTCTTTTCTTTCTTTCCTTTCTCTGTGTGTGTGTGTTTAAGTGCATGTATTTTTTTAAACATTGCTTGATCATATTTTTATATGCAGTTTTATATTTTACTTTTCACATAACATGGTAATGTAAGGGTTTTCCTTGTTATCACACACTCTTGCAGAATTTTTAGTACATCCCTTTGATGCAGAGTGCTTAGCTGTCTTGCTTCTTGCTTTATCCCTGGTGCTCAGAGCAGAGTCTGACATAAACCAGCACTTGACAAATATGGATCAAATAAGTTGTTTTCAAACGGCTTAACTTATTAAACTATTTCCCTACGTTAGACAGTATCTCTTTTTTTCCTTTCTCTCTCTCTCTCTCTCTCTCTCTCTCTCTCTCTCTCTCTCCATTTAAAATGAGTATATGTAAAAATAAAAAATAAATAAAATGAGTAGATGTGAAAGTGGAGATGAGGGTCAACAAACTATAGCTCAGAACTAAATCCGGCTTGCCTTCTGCTTTTGTAAAGTTTTATTGGAAAACAGCCACATGCACTCATTCATGTATCATCTGGAGCTGCTTTCACATGACAGTGGCAGAGCTGAGTAGTTGCAACACAGACCACATGGGCTGCAGAACCTGGCTGGGCCCTGCTGTGGCTATGTCTGGCTGTGACATCTGTCATTCTATTGATTCTCGAGACTCGTCTTCCTGATCTGGCTGACGGGTGGGTGCCCCTCTGCCTCACTCTGTTAGGGGCATCCTTGCAGAAACTTTGTGCTCAGAGAATTTCTTTTCCAGAGAACAGTCTTCAGTCAAAGTATATGAGCATTTTCTCTTGTTGTTATAATCTCCAAACAGACCATCCAGGTCTACTTTATTATATGTTCCATTATAAGACATACATCTGTGCATCTGGTGCTATTTTTGAGGTTTATTTCCTTAAACTTGGGTCCCAGAACTCAAATCAGTGGATCAAAGTGAATCAGCATTTTGAAGGCACGGGTAGGTTTCCAAGGATAGAGCTGAGGCATGCTGTGCTGGGATAGTGAGCCCATCCCTGGAGCATCACTGCAGGGCCAGACAACCTCTTGCCACAGTCTGAGAAAACGGAGTCCGAAGAGTAGTTGGAACAGAGAACTTTTAAGCTACTTTCCAGTCATAGAATTTTATGACCCTTAAGCTGAGCCAAATGATAAATGCTGGGATTCTGGACTTCTCGGGGCCAGCCCAATTCATTAGAGCAAATGGGCTGTTTGGCTTCTCTCTCTTCTTTTCTTGGCTGATCTCTCTCTGCCTCGGGTTTGATGATTGGAGCACATCTCTCATTGCTGCAAAGTGCCTTGACTTCATTTCCAGCAGGTCAGCAGGATGTGTTCTGTGTGAGTCAGCTGAGCACACATGCTCAAGCTGGTGTAATACCACCAGCAGGATCTCTGACCTCTTCCTCCCAACAGTGTGCTTGAACATGGTGTGGCTTGGAGTCCAGGA